TTATAAAAGCAGGTTGTTTGTTATAGATTATTTCCCATCTTTGAGATAGTTACATAACCTAGGGTATATACACTCAAAACTTGCTACTGCTCCTACCATACCCATACCTTTGAGTTTAATAATCTAGATTAGTGGTGGACAACCTTTTTTTGTACCTTGGATTCAAATCTAAGTTTCGATTAAATTCAGGCTCTCGTTTAAATCTTCTATGGGCGTGACGAAATGCATTTCAGGTCCGTTCTGGCAATATTCCATTATTAGGTAATCTTGTTGCTCTCGTTTCTATTTCTCTCGTTACACTTCAAGTTCATGATCCGTTCCATAATCCAACGTTGCCCAAATGCCCAATTATGGTTTTATCTCGTACAGCACTTGAAGTAAACAGAAGTCTAAACTTCTGAAAAAGAACAAATTTGAAAATGGCTGGATTCGAACCGACGACCTTCGAGTGGTGTCAGTCTGGCATGGTGCTGGATCGAATGAAAGAGCTACACCAGTTTAGTACCGGAGTTCTTTTTGATTAACCGACTTGTTATATTCGGAACTGTTCGTAAGATTTCTTGAATTTATTCACGACTTGTATATCGCGGCACATGGGTTTGCCATCACTGTATGCACTAGAAAAAGGAGGAGGTGGAGAGCTAGTGATTAGGATGAAATGGGTTTAGTTTACATGAGTTGAAACTCCCGATAAAATTTCCCCTTTGAATCTGCAGCCACAAAATGCCTAAAATTAAATTCTAAGCAAATCAGACGAAACATGAAATTTACCTTCCTTTGTACCACAAAGAAAGTCAGTAAAAAAGCAATTTCCGGATATCTACTCAAAATTGTATCTGTCTATAAAAATTTATTCTATTATCATCTGCAGTCGACTGAGAATGGTGTGAATAAATTTGTAATCTGAAAATGGCACAGGCTAATAATTTTAATATTCAGTCACAAAAGTGAAATAAAGAAGACTATTACTGTGTGCTGCCTTCATTCCTTTTTTTTCCTGCGTTGACCTAAAAAATTATTCTTTAATGTCTCATGATAATAATTGTGAAAATACCTGTCCTGCGTGCCGTATCAATGTGCGAATGCGATGAAAATTATTTTATAAGCCTTGTGAACATCATACCCGGTAAGCTTTTACATTTATCTCTCCTCCGGTTCTTCTCTGTCGAGGAAGAAACTTTCTAATTTCAATGAAAAGTAATGGCAGGACATTTTGAGTCATTTGCAGTATACTCATGAAAAAAAAATTATTAATATTTGAAGATAGATATTACGATCCTCAATTGTGTTGTTTGTAATGAATAATAACTTGCGTGTGTGTGCGTGCGACTGTATATATGACAATAGGAAACATTTCATACGTGAATTGCATTTTTTAGTGTCTATTTACCTCAAATTTTGACTCATTTTTGCGTTCTTCTCATGCCTCATTTTATCTTTCCATGCCTTACACTTTTTAAAGCTTCTTCTCTCAAACGAGAGTAGGAGATATTTCTAGATTTTGTCTGTTTGTCTGGCTGGCAGTTTAATAGTTTATCTGTTTGTCTATCTGTTGACGGTCTGCTTCCTTAAACAGGATAAGGAGAGAGATGAAATGCGCTTTCCTTACTAACATAAGACCAGCTCTAAACTCCTTATCTTCAGCGAGAAGTAACAAAATTACAAATACTCACACGCATGTATTTCAGTACAAGCGAAGACAATGAGAAATTTGTAAAATTATACTAAATGTTTATCTGCTGCCTTGTCATATTTCTTGTGGCACCGCTATGCTGTATGCTTGTTGTGTCTGCTTCTTCTTTGCACATTAATTTATTTGGTTACCGTAACCTCCTCTTCATTGCCTGACAATGATGATGATGATGATGATGATGATGATGATGATCCAATTAAGATTACCTGCTCTGACCTGTTCCGTGTCTATCTTTATGAATTCATGTGTTTGTTTGCTTCCTTTGTTTTAATGAGGGCTTTCTCCCATTTTGTATTCTTGTAGCTATTATATTGCGAGTAATTTAGGTATTCAAGCATGTGCCTAAAATTCACATTGCTTACTAAAATATGAAACAAGAGATAAAATGAGATGAGTAAAGGCATTAAATTGTAAGGAGAAAATTTTATTTCGACGTTAATAGATAAATTTCATTTACTCGATACTGACAGAGTTGGGGAGTGAATTTGGATAAAGAATGATGAAAATTGACATTTTTTGGTAATGTGTACGTGCTTTTTGGAGAGATTTGAACATTAAGTTTTCTTTAAGATTGTTTATATGCTTTGTAATTCTTGAAAGGTTTAGTTGTGATTCCTGCCTCTTCTATAACTCGCTGTGATGAACCTGAGTACCAATGACTACACAATTAAGTGATTCCCCTTCCATTTCATGTCTCGGTGCTCTTTTTAGTGTCTTAGTACCCTTTTAAGTGTTTTGTGGCTTCTTTTCTGGTTTTTTTTAAAAGGAAAATTTGACTAATAATCAGTCTGAATACCCAAGTTTGTTTGTAGTTTTATCAATTTTAATATATTTATATGACGGGTCGTGCACTTATGAAGTTTTTAAAAAAAATTAATTTTGGACCCCTTATCACGCGATTTTACATAAATTAAAATTCATCTTATTTAAAATGTCACATTCAAATCCCTTTTAAATGGTAGGCATCAAGCATGAATGACTCCTATGCTTATTAAAGAATCTCATTGTTGGTTCATAATTTAAATATTAAATTATTATAATAAACTGATAAGTTAATTGAAATTTGATGTGCATATATATGATAATGGCTTCGATAAAGCTTTGTTTTATCCTTACTTAATTCAATATATTTTGAAAGTTCATCTCTAATCATCAACTTTGCAGTAATTAAATTGAAAATTTTCGAGATTTTGTGTAATTAAAGCTAGAAACAATAGAAATGCTTTAATTAATCTATAAATGCATTCATTGAATTTTGAATAATTATTGATGGGTTTTAATTAGCATTTTGCAGCTATTGGCATTAATTTAGTATTAAATTATGACTTCATGAGAGTACATCGACAGCATTGATGAACTTAGTCTTCAAACTAAAGTTTATTTGAACTAAATTTGTATAAAAAAGCTTAAAAAATATATTTTAAATTTGAACTCATTAAAGGTAATTAGACCAAATATAATTATTGATAATCTAAACCATTTACGCTGCTTAAAAATATTTTTGTAGACAATAAACAGCAATAAAGTCTGTATGTAGCAGGGGCGTAGCCAGGGGGGGGCCATAAGGGGCCCGGGCCCCCCCTACGAAAATCTGATAATTGTTTTATTAGGTATTTATAGAGAAGAACCAGTTAATGTAGAGGAAGTGATGAAAGAAATGTCAAAATCAGCACGAAAAATTAAATTTAATGTATGAATAATGAATTAAATATTTAAACTTATGAAGAATGAATATAGATTTAAGGATACAAAATAACGGTTTTTTTAATTTTCGAAAATGGGCCCCCCCTTAAAAATTTTCTGGCTACGCCCCTGGTATGTAGTTTATAAAATCATTCAATAATGAAAATTCTTACTGCGACATCAATTTTTGTGACTTTATTCATTTCAAATATTAATTTTTGCACATCAGATGGATTCCTTGAATTTATAAGCATTGAAGCTCCAACGTCAACCAACAAGTCGATGGTGATTTACAATTTTGAGAACAAGAAGAATAAAATTTATTTTAAAGCTGAGATAATTCGTCCATTAAATCATGTTATGGTATGTAATAAAGGAGGGGGATGGGGGATATAGTGTGAATGAATGTATGACAGGCTATCAATACAGAACTATAGATAAAACGACACCTCAGTATTCCAGGTCTCGGTTTTTTGGATTACTCGGAGATTCATTTCCTAAAACTGAAAATCAGTTCATGACACTTTAGGAAATATAAATTTAATATGACTGTGACTAGGGTAGGACCGATTGTAGCTCTAGAAACCGACTATAGTTCAGTAGGTCAGATGACCCATGTTATAATGGCATAATGGCATAATAGTTGAGATACCCAAACGGAAATTTTGGTTCCTTTTTTTTAAAGAGGCTTGGGTTCGAGTCCCAATTCAATTCAAAAATGAATTATTTTTAAATCCTCGACCTTCAAAATTTCACAACTTATCACAACATTTCTTTCTTTGCAGCTTGCAGTCAACCTCTTCGTCCAAGAAGGCTTCAAATTTCGAGAACTTTTCAAATCAAAGGAATACGATTGGTGCAGAATAATTTCGAGAAAAGCCAAGTCAAATCCATTATTCCGAACATTTTTCGAGCCATTATCAAAGAAAGTTCCAGCAATTTCAAAATGTCCATTACAAGGAATCATAGAATTTGATCTTACATTTGAGAGGAAGAAGGTGATGATTTTTCCAAATGGTATTTACAAAATTGCGGCACATGCATCTCGAAAAGATGATGATGATGTCATAACGACGTCACTTGTGCTGAAAATTAATAATTAAAAAAAATGGACAACATGACATTTCTTGACCTTTAAAGTTCAATTAAATACTTAAAGTTGGTACTCATTTTTGTGTTGTGGAAGAGCTTTTTGTGACTTTATATTTATATTCAGTTTATTAATAAATTTTTTGTATAAAAATGTTGGTCATGTTGGTTCTGAAACTGTATTTCGTCACACACTAGTGCCTTGGCATTGGACTTACTCGAAAAAAAATCTCTTCCAAGTCGTACAATGAACATTATTCTGTAAAAATTTATAAACGAGCCTCTTGACTTCTTCCTTTGCAACAGAAAGAAGAATTTTGCAATTTTAGAAAATGTTCAAGCACTTTCAGTACCTCACTTGTTGTGAGCATGTCTGGCTTATTTGATTTCATGCATTATACTTTACCTTATTACATAGAAAAACACAAAACATCAAAATGCTCTCAAAAAGTCGTCTAAACAATACTTTTACATCCATGAAAAGTCTGAAAAAATTGAAGGACATCAACAAGCATCATAAAGAGAAATAAAAATGAAAAATTCAAAACTTTTTTTTATGTTGTTTGCATAAAATTCTGCTTTTATTGTTTTTGATTCTACTTTTTTTCATAAAATGTATATCTTTACATAATTTCAATCGTTATAACAAGTATATATGCAATTATTAAAAAGCACTGATGCGATTACAATAAACAAGTTTATATAAATTCGTAATATAAATATAATAAGCATCATACATGATAAAAATAGTTTTTAAAAATATAATAAAAATTATCCTCATGTAGTTTATTGTTTTGTATGTCTTGAGATGGATATTCATTGTGTTGTGTATCATGTTGAACTTTTATTGACAATTATTTGTTGAATTATTAATAGACTTTTTTTTTTAAGCTAGGGATGGCAACATTTTTGGTTTATAGACTGATTGTTATACTTATTTTAAGGTGTATGCTAGCTTGAACTTTGCTTTAACTCAATTATTACGTTACGCAAAAAACGACTTTTTAAACCCCCCCCCCCCCCCCCCCCACTCATTCTAACAAACTTTTAATGAAAATTTGTTTAAGCTGTTACAAAATTCTAAACAAGCAACAAACTAGAATAGAATGTAATGTAGGGTTTTGCTTATAGCAAAAGCGGCACTGCGATCGATGATCTGTTGTACCATTCCAAGTCCCCTACGGTAGAATTCCAATGTCCTTAATAAAGCCAATAATGTCTTCATCAAACAAACTAAGTTCAAAATTGATTCTTTGTAGAATTTTAATTGAATTTTAAGTACACAATTCAAGGACTTTCAGAAAACATCAATGATATCAGTTCTGCTAATGATTCCATTGACATTAGTTTTCAATCAACAAGATCTAATCTGATCTAATCGCTTTTATTTTCAAATTACTTCATTGATAACCATGAATTGTTTGCTGTGCATTAGCGATTAAAAATTAGGTTTAAAAACCAATTACAAACCAATTAGGGGTCAATCATAAATGACGTTAATCTTTTGAAATTAGTTTTTATTGAGATTTTTTGATTTTGTCGTAAAGTTTATAAAATAGTTATTTTTTTCTTTTGAAAGTGTTGAACAGTGTCAAACCCTCTCTTATCCCCAAAGTTTGACGTCATTTTACTGACCCCTTTGTATTCAACTAGAAAGCAGAGCACGAAGTCGATGAAATTTTGTATCGAATCGAGTCAATTCGGAGTCATAAAAAGCGATGAAAATCTAGAGTCGGCTTCGAGCTCTTCTAGGAAGTTCTGAATGATGTATTCTTACAACTTAATATCTAGGCTACTTAAATTATGATTGGTCCGCGACTCTATTAGTCTGCTGCGGGTTCTGTTGATTTAAGAACTTTAAACACTGAATCAGTTCAAACAAATAAAGTTCGTGTAAGTCACTGCATGCATCGCAGCTTGAATTTCTGTGTCTTTAGTTTCTAAAACTAAGTCTCTAGTTAAAGATTCGAGATTAAAAGTTTTTAAGCATCTTTAAAATTCCATCAAACTAATTTTGCGTTTATTAGTCTTTAATGATACCCAAAAAGGTTCTCATCCCTAGCTCCATAAATGTTTGTCTATACATACAATTAGCTGGACAACTGATTGATTTACAATTGCTTGACTCACACAGAACGTAATTAAATTAACAACTTTATTCTACCTGCATACTACATCAGCTAACATCCGATACAAAACTTTACAAGAATGTCCATCTCAAAACATTAATTTCGTTAGACAAATTCAATAAATTAATCATTAAAAAGCGTTTAATTTTTCTCGTTAATAGCCTGTCCCCCGAAACAAAAACCAAAAAGACGAAAGTCAAATGGCAAAGTTTGGGGATAGTTTCATGTTTTTCTTCTACATAAGAAATTAGTTTTCGATTAGTTTCTATTTCACAATAAATAAATATATAAATAAATAATCAGATGAATTAATGAAGAGTAAAGTAACAGAAGAAAGAGAAGCACTAATAATTTGAATATATATCGATAAAATATAAATTTTATTTAAAACTTTTTCACAACAGAATAAAAATTTGTTTCTCTCTCGTTCACAACCTTTTTGAAGATATATATGTAGCATGCATCCTTTTGTTATTTTTTTCTCCATTCAATCTGAGGATAAAAGAAAGGAAGAAGTCGAAGGAAATTTTGCTATCTGACTTGAAACTTTTTTTGGTTCCTTTTTGTTTTGAGAACGTCTCTCTTCGTTCTCTTCGTGCTCAAAAGTTTCCCCCTAATTTTGAGCTTGTTAAAAAGTCATATTCAGATTGCTTTTTCCTATATCTGTCTTAATTTTTCTTCTTTTGTTCTACTTACTTGTTAAAAGAATCGAGGGAGAATCCCATCTTACTAACCCGATCTATATACATTGCAATGTTGATGTTGTCCTTATAACAGCCAAGGACAAAGCATATATACGAATAAGTAAGAGCAGCTTGTTAGCCAAATCCAAGTTGATCCCATGCAACTTCCATTTAGCTGTCATGTGGTTACAACGTGGTTACAACGTGGCATACATTTGGTTGTCACGTGGCATACTTATAGTTGCTCAAATGTTGCTCACATGTGGTTGCCAAGCAGATGCTGCTAAATTTAAGCTTACTACCCTCTTGGGAGCCCTTTAGAAAAACATTTCAATGTACTGATCGGGTTAAAATTACAAAACAACAACAATAACTTTTGATTTTCATGTACAGACTCGATACTTGTGAGATATAATACAGCATAAAATGTTATATGAACTCAATTGCAAGATTGCTCTTATCGAATGACACTTTTATTCTGTTCATAAATTGACAAGAGATTTGGTAGACGAAGACTGCACAAATGGAAGGAAAAAGTTTTGTCTCATTTTGTAAAATTCTTATTGGATCTCCCTCAGTTCTCATTTTCTTTTTAAATATTTTAGTTGATCATTTAAATTAAATAAATTGTTAAGTTTTGCTCTTATTTTTGCAAATTGATTGGAGTGACTTTGAAGACAAAAGTTGGGAATAGGGATGAAGTTGAGCAGAAAGTTTACTCGAGTTGACTTTTAAGTAGATTGCAAGTTCTGTAAATTTATGGTTGTAAATTTGACTAATGATTTCTGGACGTATAGGAATTGAAGCAAATAAACTCAATTAATTTTTTTGAAGTTCGTCAAACTTCTAAATAGCTTTTGGACACAAGTAAGCAAGCGAAAAATCGATGAAGTAGCATCAGTGTCCTAAATGCTAAAGGCTGGACTTATATCTTAAGAGTTCTGGATTTGTCAACTTCTAGAATTCAGTTCAATAGCTCCTGGAGATTCTCTACATTAGGTTTGAAATTTGATAGTTCTAAACTTTAAGATATCAATTAAGTTTGACCGTTACAAGGTAAGGTCCCTGACTAGCAGCCTACGTAACTTAAACTATACATTATAGCTTTGGATCTTGAAGTTTGTGATAAAATAAATGAGGTTAAGCACTCTTAGTCTAGTTCCAATATTCATTTCAGCTGAGATATAAGAAGATGTCCATCCCCAGCCCATTTAACTGATTGAAATCTCTAGAAAAGTCACTCAAATCCAATCACAAAAATCAAAAAAGTTAAAAATTTAAAATTCAATGTTAACCATACCAAAACATTCAATTTCTCCAAAGAGTTTTAAATTCTTTAAACTTTTTTCTTCTTTCAAACTTTGTCCGAATGAAAAATAAAACTTGTTCCTCAAAATTTAAACATCCAAGGTTCTTTAAGTGAATAAAGTAGAAAAATTAACATTTTTTTCCTTTCTTTCTTGTTTCCTCGTTTGCTACTCGAAAAAGTTGAAAATAAAACAAAGTTTAATGTTATTGTCATTCATAGATTCAAAGCTTATAACAAACTCTCAAAAAGATATTTCTATGTGATTTAAAGAAGCGACGAAAATCGTTTTCCTTCTCATAGCAAATATGTTTTTTTGTGATTGTTGCCACTGATTTTCATTTATGGGCAATTTTTTTAAGGTTATGTTAGAACACTCCGACATAGTTTTTTTTTCATAAACAGACGAAATTTTTATAAAGTTTAATTAGCTTAAAATAAAAAAAAAATAAGAAAAAAATGAAAAACGACATTATTAGCACATGTATTGCTAGGCTATTTCTAGGGATGAGGGTTGATGTGATCTGTAGAAAATTTTTAGTGATTTTTTGATGGTTTTTGAGTTGATTTTGAAGCTGTAAATTTTAAATCATTGATTTTGTAGGTTTTCGATGTGTTTTTTAATGTTGATACATTTTTTAAACATTGAAAACCAAGTTTTTAGGAGCAACCAACTTAGCTGCACCTTGGGGTCGTCCAACATTCTAATTAGGACCTTCTTTTGTTATATTTTAAGTATGCCTCATGAAAATCAATATTTTTGATCTTTATGACCACAAAGCATACCTATAAAGCACACTTAACCTCAAAATATCAACACAACCTACTCCAAATCCACAAAAACCCATCAAAAAAGTTCACCAAAAATCATCAATATCCTCCCCATCCCCAGATGTACATCTTATGAAATAATTCATTTATTTTTTTTTTAATTTACAAAAATTCACCATTTCCGATGTGTAATGTCCCGGGTGGTACTCTATAGCCAGGGTATGTGTTGCTCAATGCATTTTGTGCAAAGAATCGAGAATAATCCTACGAGTAAAAAGTAATAAAACGACAAAATGTAAGAAAAAAACAACAACAAAGACATTTAAAATATTTCTAATGTAAAAGCTGCGAAATTAAAATCACATAAAACGTCAATTCTTTAGCGTAATTAAATGGATTGTAATTAATTAATGTGAAGTAATGGAGTGGGTGGGTTGTTAGATTTTATGGAGAGAATTTGCAGACTCATGCAATCGTCATCTTCTTCTGTGTTTATGTTTTAATTTCGCAGAGATTTTCACAAGCGCATTTTCTTGGTGGGTTGTCATGAAAATGAGTATTGCTTCTGATTTGTCGATTTTTTTTAAAAAAAAACTTGTTATAAAGGTTGATGATGTAAGCGGTTCGGATTCCACTTTAAACTGTGGGTCTAAAGGGTGTGGTATAAAAGATTCTGTTCTAATTTGAATCGCAGTGTTTCCAGCTCAACAGGCTGAGCGATGATTAACCTTTAAGGTTTATGATTTTCCAATAGTTTACATTTTTTTTGAATTGATTGTCATTTTGGGGGGGGGGGGGGGGAGGCAGTACATTGAGAAAGTGACTAAGGTTGCTAGAAGTCAGCTTTTGTTTTTAAAAACAGTGTATACTTTATTCTACAATAATTCTAAAATTTTAGGGGTATGCAACTCCTTTGAAAATAATACAATTTCTTCAGATTTCGGTTAAATGTGCAACTTTGAATTGAGAATGTAAATAAATTACTAATCGAAGGAAGTGTTTGTGAATTCTATAGCTACTTTTTAATAACACACTTTAGAGGGGGGATGGGGGGTCCAAATTATTAATTGTTTTAGAAATAACACAAGTTATTCTTGAAAATTGAGGAATATAAAGGAATCCCCTTCCGTTCTCAAGAGATCAAAAAAATTTCGAAGGGTGGTGTGGAGAGGGGGGGGGGGGGGTGAGCGTTTGAAGATTCTCTCAAAATTAATATAAAATTTAAAACCCCCATTGCTGCACTCCTTACCACTTTTTAAAACCTTAAAACAAATTTACATTATTTTTCAAGAAATGCGCTTCTTCACACCATCCTTAATAATTTTCTTATTTTTCTTTAATTACATCAAACAATTTCAAATAATTATTGAAGCACCGTTGAAAAATACTTAATTATTCACAAAAGAAAAAAAGCGATTTTTCCATGTTCTTGTACAATTTTCGCTTAAGTCTGCAAGTCTCAAAAGTTCTTTTAATCATTCATTATTAAATGAGATTTTTGCTCCATTTAGTAGTCATTAAAATTGTTTGAACAGAAAAGAAAGAAGGAAAAAAATTAATCTTGTTAATTCCACAAGGCAAACTGAAATTAATGATTGTCATTATTTGACACATATTACAGGTAAATATGCTTGTTAAAATTATAATTATTTTCATTCATTTACACACAAATACGCACAGCTATAGACGAAGAATTTTCATAATGATAATAAAATTTTGAGACAATAACTGAATGAATGTTCAACAAAAAAATCAATTAAATGAGGAATAATATCCATAAATCTTTTGTCCCGTTGCCATTATCTAAATTAATATGTAAGCGAAAATTTAATTTTCCTTTCAATTTGCTTAATACTTTTTACCCCATTTCTCTCTTTTCTCTCCATACTTGCTTTGCCTCGTCTATGTCTCCATTCCACAATGTCTGAGACTTATTTTCATTTCATATAAAACTTTGTCTTCTTTATGATTATTAAATGATTATCAAAGAATTGGTTATGAAAATGACATCAGCAGCAGAAATTTTAATGAAAAATTATTATTCTTTATTGGATTGAGACTGTAATTTTTCTTATGTCTAGAATGAGGATTGAAGTATTTGGAATGTGCTCGATTAATATAAATGAAGTTTGTGGACGCATTTAGTTTTTAAGAAATGAAATTTTGAATTCAATAACGAATAGGATTTATTCAATAATGAATGAATTGTTTAATGTGTGAGGGCAGGGACAGGAGGGAGGGGGGGGGGCAAAAATTGTCAAAAATTTTAAAAGATCTTGTGCTTAATCGAATAACTTAGTTTTAGCTTGCATTTTGAACGACTTTAACAGTTAACGGATTTTTGAAATTCAAAGGAACAAAAAAAATTTCTAAACGCACTCATCAAGAGTTTTTGACAATTTTTTTTTGTACTGCAATCAAAAAATCTGGTGTGAACAATTCAACAACTTTGATTGCAACAGTTTCCTATTAAGTTTGTAAAAATTTCTTATTTGTCTGTCTGACATAAAATAATGCGAAATTTAATACGCTGATTTTCATAAATTGAAATTTAATTTACCTCTTTAAAAGCTTAAAGAAAATCATAAAAAATTGTAACGGCCTTTTTGAAATTCAAAATCTAAACCGATAAAATAAGTTAAAATTTCTGAACGCACTCATCACATGTTTTCAGATTAAAATCAAAAATTCATTAGTTAAAGTATAAATACACTGTTTTAAGACTTTTAACTATTCGATGGGACAAAAATCAATCGCTACAGAGCCAACAAAACAAACCCGAGCTTTCTACGATGTCTGAATGAGAAGATCTCAGTTAACAGCCGAGCGCACAATATCGAAAAAGTTAAACAATTTATTCCAAAAAATATGTTCATAAAATAATTCAGCTGGCTTCATTTCGAATTTTAAATTAATTTTTTTAGATGTCGCAAAATGTTATTGACTTTATGAATTTTAGAATAATCAAGGGCATCCAAAAATACATATGAATAAAATTACACGATGTCTACTCAAAAAATGAGAACAATTTCGGATGTAATCAGTATCTACTTTAATTTTATGATTGAGTCTGAAGCTGCTGCTGCTGCTGTTCCGATATAAATTGGATTTTTGATTGAAAAATGAAATTATTTATATTCAAAAAAAAATAATGAAAAGAATATTTTTTTTATTTGCGAATCCTTAATTGTGAATTCACAAAACTCAATCTACAAAAAATTTATGGAAAATAAAAAAAAATATATCGAATTCCGACGAAATGAAATGAATTGAATTGAATGGAATGATGAGAGGAGTAAGAGACAAAAAGCTATGGTTTTCTGATGCTTATTCAGGAATAGCAAACAAAAATATTAACAAAATCTGATTTTCATTTGTTTTATAAATTTGATTGAATTTCTGTGTGCACAAGTGATGGAGAGAGAAAGAGATAGAGAGGCCGACGATCAGCAAATGGGTTTGAAATAATCAAAAAAAAATTTGGTGAGGATTTTATGAATTAAAATGAGGAGAAAATTTCCAGATCGGCATTATATTATGGAAATTTTCTACTTTTCATACACATTGCTGTAATTTCATTAACATTATCATTGCTACATACTGTCGAAAATTTTCATTTCAAATTTATGTACAAGACAAATAAAATGAATCGTTTTCTGCTAAAATTTTTGGTCAAAATCCAATTTAATCTGTTTGTATCAAATATTAGAAAGAGAGCAAAGGATTTTTGTTAGATGCAGAGTTGGAATTGTTTCGATTTGTACGTTTAAAAAATGATTTATAGAATTTAAACTGTTTTGTATGATTTAAATTTTAACAGTTTTGTAGGATTTAAATTTTAACGGTTTTGTAGGATTAAAATTTTAATGTTTTTGTAAGATTTAAACTTAAACTGTTAAGTAGAATTCAAATTTTAACAGTTTTGCAGAATTTAAATTTTAACACTATTGTAGGATTTAAGTTTTAACGGTTTTGTAGGATTAAAATTTTAACGGTTGCGTTTGATTTAAATTTTAGGAGTTTTGTAAGATTTAAATTTTAACGGTTTCATAGGATATAAATTTTACCGGTTTTATAGGATTTAAATTTCAACAGTTTTGTAAGATTTAAATTTTAACAGTTTTGTAGGATTTAAATTTTAAGGGTTTTGTAGGTTTTAAATTTAACGTTTGGAAGATTTAAATTTTAACGGTTTTGTAAAATTCAAATTTTAACAGTTTTTTAAATTTCAAATTTTAAGGGATTTTTTCGGAAAAGCCACTAAATATTTTATTATTCCATCTCTGTAACAGTACCAATAATACATTTTTTGTGTGAAGTGTGCGAGTCTTGTGTGTATATGTGTGTAAGTGTTTGTGTGTAAATGTTACTGTTTATATATTTATATTTACATATTTATTTATTTAATATTGAACCCATCCTGTTATGCAATCATGTGGTTTTGTTTTAAAAAAAGGAGATTTAATTTTTATTTTACAAATAATTTCACATCCGAAAAAAATGTAGAATCGAATCAAATTGCATAACATGAGCGGGAGTTAATTGTTTATTGTTTACAGTTTTTTTTTTAAATTTTAATTTTTTTATATCTTAAATGATGCGAACAGTCAAAAAATAAAATCAGCACTAAAATTGATGAAAATATACATTAAAGTGTTGAAACTTTTATGAACAGCAATTTTAATTTCATTCATAGTGTCGGCTAATTGGTGCTTGTGTAAGCATTTACGTAAATGAATAATTTGTTTTTTTTTTTTCATTGCAATTTTGTGGAAAATTTGCGAGACAATTTAATTTGTTTCACACAGAACATAATAAAGGTTAACTGTATGTCACATTGTCATTTTTGGAAAATTTTGTGGATTCGAAAATTTATGCAAATAATAAGCTTTTCATGTAATATGTCATTGGAATTTTAATATCATCAACCAGCACTATGAAGTTTCGATTTATTATATACTGATTATTTTATTTGGCGTTTTTGCGATTTTGATTTTTTGGAAAGAATTATAATTTCGTGTGGTTTGAATAAATTGGTAGTAATTAATTGGTTTGAGTAATCAGCTGTGAATGCGATTTGATGCATAAAATTTAAATTTCATCACAAAGTCTTATGAAATCAACTAATTTAGCAACAATTATTATTGTATTTAGCTTATTCAGCAACAATTGTTGTTGAATTCAGCTTATTAAGTAACAATTATACTGCTGAATCCAGCTTATTCAGCAATAATTGCTGTTGACTTCAGTTTATTCAGCAACAATTGCTGTTGACTTCAGCTTATTCAGCAACAATTTCTGTTGAATTCAGCTTATTCATCAACAATTGCTTTTGAATTCAGCTTATTAAGTAACAATTATACTGCTGAATCCAGCTTATTCAGCAACAATTGCTGTTGACTTCAGTTTATTCAGCAACAATTGCTGTTGAATTCAGCTTATTCTGCAACAATTTCTTTTGAATTCAGCTTATTAAGTAACAATTATCCTGCTGAATCCAGCTTATTCAGCAACAATTGCTGTTGACTTCAGCTTATTCAGCAACAATTTCTGTTGAATTCAGCTTATTCAGCAACAATTGCTTTTGAATTCAGCTTATTAAGTAACAATTATACTGCTGAATCCAGCTTATTCAGCAACAATTGCTAATGACTTCAGCTTATTTAGCAACAATTGCTGTTGAATTCAGCTTATTCAGCAACAATTGCTTTTGAATTCAGCTTATTAAGTAACAATTATACTGCTGAATCCAGCTTATTCAGCAACAATTGCTGTTGACTTCAGTTAATTCAGCAACAATTGCTGTTGAATTCAGCTTATTCAGCAACAATTACGGTTGAATTCAGCTTATTCAGCAACAATTTCTGTTTAATTCAGCTTATTCAGCAACAATTGCTGTTGAATTCAGCTTATTCAGCAGCAACTCTACTGCTGAATTCGACTTATACAGCAATAGTTATTGTTGAATTCAGCATATTGAGCAACAAGTACTGTTGAATTCAGCTTATTCAGCAACAATTACGGTTGAATTCAGCTTATTCAGCAACAATTTCTGTTTAATTCAGCTTATTCAGCAACAATTGCTGTTGAATTCAGCTTATTCAGCAGCAACTCTACTGCTGAATTCGACTTATACAGCAATAGTTATTGTTGAATTCAGCATATTGAGCAACAAGTACTGTTGAATTCAGCTTATTCAGCAACAATTACTGTTGAATTCAGCTTAGTAAGCAAAAATTATACTTCTGAATTAAGCTTATTCAGCAACAATTAAAGTTGAATTCAGCTTACTCAGCAACAATTTTTAGCTGAATTCAGCTTAATTCAGAACAAATATTGTTGAATGCAATTTGACTGCAAAACACATTTTTAAACCTCAAAAATCAACTTTTCAATTTGTACAAAAATTTATAATTCCTTCCCAAAAATCATTTAAAATGTCTGTTTAGTAATTAGGGTTTGAATAATGAAAAGTTCTAACTACTTTGTTGACACGCTTTGGACGAAAAACTGGTCCCAAAGCGAGCTTCCGGCGTTCTTCATTTTCTACTTCTGCCTGCATCTTGTATTCAGTTGGGGGCCACTTTGTATCCCCACGCATGTTTGCACCACCTTAAGACGTAAAAGAAGAATTTAAGGATTGTATTTAAAAAAGATAAAGTCTGAAAGGAGCTTGTAGATCCAAAAACAATTAATTCTAAGCCTATGCTACAAGATTATGACATAAACTACCAAAAATCCGTCATAAAAAGTAAGAAATAATTAGAGACGATCAAAATGTCATTTCATCTCATCCAAAATAAAAAGAGGATTTACCTTGAAATGTTGCAGCGACAGGCTGAGATTGATAGACAGGCGCAGGTTTTTGTGTGATTGGAGCTTCTTTCCTCAATGGTGTACCCATAAATGGTTGTTGTTGTTGTTGTTGCTTTGGTGTGTCTTCATAATATTGCGGATATTGTGGATGCTGAGGTTGCTGATAAATTTGCTGTTGTGGTGTCGACACTTGAGAAACAATTTGTGCCTGGTTGAGATGATGGCAAGTTTCACGAAGAATTAAAAAGAAAGAAAATAAAGGAAAAAAAAAATCATTTCATTTGTCTTTCGTGCTCTTTTTCTTCTTTCTTATGTTACAAATTGTACGTGCTACAAGAAAATTATACAGCATTTTATTGCACGAAAACGAGTTAAGCTTTTTTTCTGCTTTCTTCTCTGCAGCTAGCAAACTACACGCAAAGAAAACATTTGGAACAGACAAAGTATGGTGTTCATTGTCAAAGAAGATGTCAAGAAGTTGAAATTTTGCTTTTTCTGCTATTTTGTAGCTTGGTTTACAGGTTTTGTGGATTGAAACATATAAACTTTTTCTATGGCAAGGGTTGGGTACCCTAGAAAAAAACATTCAAATTCAATTAACCGTTGAAAAATTCAAATTCAAATAACCGATAAAAAATTCAAATTCAAATTAACCGTTAACAAAGTTCAAATTTAAATAAACCGTTAACAAAATTCAAACTTATTTCAATCCATAAATCCTGGAATCTCAAAGAAATTAGTCTTCTTACTTTACTTATGTTGATATTCCATATGTACATATTTGTATATATATGAGCATACATATATGCATTGCATAAGACACATATATAAAATTTGTGGAGGTAATAAGATTCACATTACCTTTTACAAATGACACTGACATTAGTGTAGAGAAATGAAAAGAAATTTCACGTAATGCATTAGCAGGAAACCTAATGGTATGATGAAATTTTTTTTCTCTCTTTTCTTCTTATCATCGTCATCATCATCATCATATTCATTATTGTAAACAGAAAAAGAAGCTTGAAAAAAGCACTCCATCCTCACATGTGCGAAATGAAAACAAAAGACGAGAATTTTTTATTCTCACATTCTTGTTTGTTGTCTCGACTGTACATGTACTTGAGCACTTTAATGCTTTTTTTTCTCGTTTTTTTTTCAATAAAAGAAACATACTATAAATATTTAAAGCATTATTGAACACACATATGCCATTTGATTACATTGAATTGTTTGTTTGGTCCTTAGGCACGCTTTAATGTGGTTCCTTATACATTTTCGCACATCTATTATGGATGTAAGGGAAATTTATGGCAAGTGGGAGTGAGTGAATAAGACAATATGTAGGTGCTATAAAGTTTATGATGATGGAAGTTGGAAAGTTTAAGAAAATTGTAATTTTTTGAAGACAATAAATTCAAACTTTTAACATTTTGGTTCTTGAAAGTTTGAAAATGATGAATGGTGGTTGAAAAGAGTTTTATAAAGGCATTTGTCAGCAATCAGTACCTAGAGAGCCAGGAAATTGAAGAGGGGGTGGGGGGTGGGGGGCTCAGTACTTAGGCTACTGTATGAGACAAATTAGTTGAAACACTAAAGATTATAAGCTATAAGACAGAAAAGTTGAAAAAGAGTGGTTCACATATATTGGCAAATTGTCAGTTCCAACGGTAAAGCCCGAAAGCTTAGTGGTCTGAGAACTTGACCGGCAATCGAGAGTTGCGAGATTCGATTCCCGCTCGAGACGAACCATTGGTTGGGTTAATTTTTTTCAACAATTTTTAATAACTGTGCTTAGGTATTTAGTTTCTCATTTCAATTTGTTGAGCTTTGCCAAAATACTCCACGACGTAGAGGTTAAACTATGCTGGATCTCATCAAATCTGACTCCGAGATCCCAAGGCATGAACACAAAAAAATTCTTTCATCCAAAACAATGAAAAAATTTCATCCGAAACAAAAGATTCTTTCATCCGGTATCCATGCTTTCCTCACGCCAGCCTAGAGCAACCATTTAGCTCCTTTACTGGGCTGGACGACGTTGTGTGCCATTTGGTCAGGGTTGAGACTCAGATTTTTTAACTACATACTATCTTGACATCTTAATTGATAGAAGTTAAAATTGCAGAAATCATAAGTTGAACACAAGTTTGTCCCAAAATGTTGTTTTCAGTAGTAGTATTCATTCAACAATTTATATCAAAAATATCTGTGGTGTCAGAGCAAAGTGAAATCTGAGGTATCGAGGCAGATATATATGCGAATCTGCAATCAGTGTCAGAATTAGGTTTCTGTGTCGCGAGTGGTTAGACAACATATCAGATATCTGGACCCCTCTTTTGTGAGGACGTTGGTTTGATTCCTACCAGAGACTGGTCTGTCAATCATTATATATAGAGTTTCGTCGATTTGACAAGGATTAACTCACGACATTTCAATATTCTAATTTGGGAATAATGGGTACCGTTCCCAGTTACAGCTAGGATTTAAAACAAAATATTCCCTAAATAGATCAATTGTGATGGAAGTCGATTAATGTTATAAATACGAACGTGCCATTTGCATAACCTTCAATAAATTAAACTATAATAAGACGTCACAGAATCATCAAGACTACATAAAAATGTTATGAATAAATGAATGAATTGAAATTTTGGTTTTTTAAGATACGAACCAAGAATTTCTCTTCAATTTTTAAACAAAAGCTAGTCAGTACAATACCGGACATATAGATTTAAATTATAGCATTGGAGCAAGGATTGGAAGAGGAAAACTTATGTTACAGACAGAGAGTAACGTTAGGCACTAGAAAAAAAGAAGCAAAGCAAAAAGCAATTTGAACCTAAAGGCGATAATTTGTTTGATAGCCATTCAAAGCTCAAAGATTCATTCTTCAAACAGAATGGATGTAAGTCGGGTCGAGTGATTGAAAAAAAAGGATGCATGAAGACAGAGAAAAAAAAACATTTCAATTATCTCGTAATTTGAAATGCTCTTGTGGTGACGGCATTCAATCTCTATCATTCACCATTTTGCGTCTATCGAGTCAGAGGCTGAAAGCAAGTCTCATCATTATCAGCCTAAAGCATATCCAACGGAATGTGTATCTCTTCACACATCAAACAAGATTTTTTTTTTCATTCTTTTCTATAAAGTTCATGTTAGGTTCACAGACAGGCCACGCAATGTAGATAAGCTCTTAACAAGCAGTAAAAAGAGTGGAAAAAAGTCAAAACCAATTAAAAACGCTCCACAACAAAGGCATTTAATTCTCAGCGGGGGTTATTTGTGTCGAATATGCCGAAAAAAATGGCTATTAATTAAATAACAAAGTCTAGCTAAACGAGCAGCTTGAGCAACAGCAGTAAAATCCACTGTCCGATATGTCCTCACTTGATATCATCATATCAGCATAAAAGAATTAGAAAATATGAGCATGTTTATGTGTGTGTGCGTGAGAAACTCTAGATCCGTACCTGTGGCTGTCCTAAATCGTATAATGATGTTGATGGTGGTGGTGGTGCAACTTCAAATGGTGGTGCATTTGATGAATTTTGATAAAATAATTTTGGTTGTTGATTTCCAACACCGGGTGAACGTGGTGATTCAACATGAGACCAACCGCGTGGGCTGCTGCCATGATATGAAGTCTGATGACTGTATTGGGGAGAAAAGTTTGTTTGCAAGGATGGGAGAGGGGAAAGTGGCTGTTGGAAGGAACTGAAGCCATGAATTGAAACGGGACGTTGTTGTTGTTGTACCGGTATTGGCGCGCTTTGAGGTATTTTGGGAAGTGAAGGCTCTTTGGGTGGAGCGGATGGAGCAGTTGAATAATTTACGACAGCAGACGGAACCTGGAAGAATTCAATTTAAATAATTTTTGTGTTCTTTAAAATTTACTGATGTAGAAAATCGTATTAAATCAAAAACTGTTTGTTTCCTATTTTAATTTTTTTCACTTAGGGGGGGGGGGGGGGGGGGGTCTAGAATTCGGTGACACATTGTGACAGGGGAGAAGGGTACAAAATTTGTGACAGTGGAGGAAGAGGGTCTGAAAATCTTGTTTTTGTGGACGTCATTAGTGAATGGCCCCATATTGTGGGACGTAGCTAGTTTTCGAGGGGGTGGGGGGGGGGGGGGTTGTGTAAAATTGAGAAATCAATTTAAATCAAAAATAGAGTAGGTTATGAAATTTACTAGTCGAAAGACTTTTGACTCCCCTAGCTTCACCCCTAATTCCATTCCTGTCTGCTCCATTTCGTCTACCAACACAATTTTGGAGGAAAAAGATTGAGACACCGTGCCTTAAAGAATGTTTTTTCCTTTCTCACCTTTTTTTCTTAGAAGAGACTGTAGAATGTGAGAAACATAAACTTTTCATTATCCCATTGGGCAAACACCGACAGAAGTTCTTTTTAAGATGCAACCAGGGAGGAACCTTTTTTTATCTTCCATCTTACTCCCACCACGCGCAATACCTTTTCTACTTCTCAATATTTTTTATGTATGTCTTTTTTTCTCCTCTTCATAATGACCAATTCTTGTTCCTTGTTCAGTTATGAACCTTTTCACTTTTTTATTATGTATCAAAGTCTTTAATATTAAACTTCATCAGGTGCTTTTTCTGTGTCAACGTGCTGCTGCTCCTCTCTCACTACTTCCTATATTGTTATTTTTTTTCTTGTGTATTTTGGGTTATTTTTTTCTAAGATTCTTTTTATTTTATTACTCTTCTTGTCTTGTTTAAATACACATAACCGAAATTGAAGAAAGAACCTTGAAGGCTTAGAGTTTTTGCCTTTTAATTACGGTTAAGAAGAGCATGTGAATAAAAAAGGAGAAATTTTCTTGTCGCGAACAAGAAGTTTTTTTTGAAGAATTTTTTGCGATTGTTTTGAGGAACGTAACTTTTTGGTAAGCTAGTATAAATAAGCTAGTATTTATAGTATAGTATAGATAGTATAGTATAGATCAGTGCTGTCCAAACTGTGTGCCGCGACACAAAAACGCAGGAAATACTACGAACCGCATGCTACATATGTTTGTTTTTGGTCGTGGTTTATCTCCAAGTTTAGACAACACTGGTATTGAGCAAAATAATGGTTGAAATCGAAAGCTAGCTAAGCTTCCCTTGAGCTGAAAAGTGAGACAAGCGCTCGATTAATCCTAAAAACTTATCCCTGTTTGACTCCTCATAATAAGGGGGAATAAGGGGTTCTGTCACTAGAGACACAATTTTGAAAATCTCTGAAACCTTGGATTGAAATATTTTATATAGTTTTAAGGTATCCAGAGCCAAATCTCGTTCTTCCCGTTCTCTTTGTTACTGCTGACTACCCCAAATGAGTTCAAATTCATAAAATGCCAAAAATTCATCCACATTTTATAGTTCTGTTCATTTAAACCTACTCTCAATCCATTCTACCTGCCACATTCTCATGAATCTTCACACAAAAAATATCTGACTAAGTAGCTTACAGCTAATTTGATTTCCTTGCATTAATTTAAATTAAATTCAAAATTTTCTCTTTTTCTCCTTCGACTGTTGAATAATTGAAAATATTTTCCTATCATCTAAAATGTGTCTAAATCGTGAATAGCGGACATGACAAGAATAAATAATAATTGTTCCTTTTTTTCGACTAGATCGTTATTTATGCTGTGTGTACAACTTTGAATAATTTGAGGTGCTGTTCGAGAGTTTTTTGTCTTGAAAATTGATTTCAGGTTATGCTCACTTTAATCTGTAAAGTAGAGTTTAACGAAGCTGATCCAATGAGGATTTGTTTGGAATAACAAGCTGTAGCTGGATGATGTTTATTTTGTCAATTAGTGGGCACCCCGAGGGGAAAGCTTAATTGGCAGTTTAGACTGAACATCGACATTGCTAGTGAGAATTAAGATCCATGACTTCAAGATTATAATGCACATAATTCAACCAGCAAATATCTTCATTAGTGCAATATGTCACCTTACAAAAGCTCCCTTCCATTCTGACAAGGGTTAAGTCATTGCTCATAAAATTAGAACTCATAATTGATCATTTAAATTGCTTAAGTTTTAAACCTCAAGAATTTCTATTCATAAACCTTCAACATCGCTGTCAGGCAACAACTCGTGCCACCAAGCACTGTCAACAAAATAATTCACTTCCTACAGTTATATCAGTAATTACAGACTAGATTATTCAACATAAAAAAAGTCTCCTTTTTTCCCTTCATTCGCTCCAATCACGTCAGAAAATTTTCTTCAAGCATCTATTATGGTAAATGAGAATGAATGAATGTTATAATGGTTGAACGGACGTCTTTTAGATGCGGAAAATATTTGTGAATGAAAAGAATAGAAAGGTATGGCATGTGCACCTTATAAAAACCGCGTGTGACAAAAATAATCAAGGAAACTGAGTGTCATGGTGATCAAGACCCTTTTTTCATTCTTTCGTCTCTTTTAAAGCTTGTGCCATGTTGTCAGACAAATTTTTTGTTGCTTAAAAGGATGAAAATAATGTGATTGCAGGGGTGCTGCATTCGATTTTTTTTTAAATTGGCTGTAAATTTAAGGAGAAGGGCAGAGCTACTCAAATTATGCCATATAAAATCAGCTAATAGTGTCTCACGAGTTTTCAAGCTTTGTTTAGTTTGACAATAATAATAATAATGTGTGAAGGGCCCAGCCTTTCAGCTGAAGGCACTGCGATTCAATTTGTAAAGAATCTATTGTACCAAACCCTTTAGACCTACAGTTTGTAGTGTGATCCGAACCAGTTTGACAAAGTACGAATAAATTTAAGAATCACGAGAGTGGGTACTAAGGATAGACTGAATCTGTCAAAATTGATGAGGAAGCCCAACTTCTCTAGAAACCCTGATCAGACGAAATCCGAAGCATCCCTCAAGAAATTTATAGCTGTGTCCCAGGGGACGATTTCTGAGGCTCCCCAAAATATCGTCAAATTGTGTTGACTTGCTTACTTACTTCGGTGGACGTACAGATCAATTGTGATCCATGGCTTCCCTTAAATGACGTCTGATGCTGGCTCTATCGCTAGCTACCGTGTGCCAATTACCCATACCTAATGCAATACTGTCAGCTTCTTTCCAAGAGTTCTTGAAATGTCCGCGTGATCTTTTGCCATCTATTCAAACCCAATTAATTTCTAGATATTTAGATTGTCCGGTTCCTGCTCTCTTCTTTCAAATCTCACCTTTTTTTAATAATACAAAATCCTGAATTAAAACCCTTTGATTGTCTGAAGCATCACAACAATAATGAAACAAGGACATTAAAAATTAATACAATCGTCTTTCCCTCAACTGATAATAAGAAGACAAGAACATTAATCTGAAAACAATACTTTTGATGATGCTTTGAAAATAAGAAGCTTTTCAATAATAACCTCTCAACTTTGTCATCTTCTGACTCTTGTTGTTATTCGACACCTCCTTGATGTTCCATTATCCACAAGAAAAAAAATTTCAAAATTAAATAAATAAAAGTTGTTGATATTAAAATAATCTCTTGTTGTTTACGGTAAAATGAAACTCATTTCAATTTTAAGACTTAATCCTAGAAAAAGCTACAACTTATTTAAATTGAAACAAATATTGATACTTCTAGAGAATGGTTAATTAGAGGAAATGTAAACAATTCGAGGAATTATGATTAAAAGTTGTAAACAAATTTTTTGGGTAAGTTTCTTTTGAATTAATTATTAAAGCTTCCATTCTTGCCTTAAGAACATTTTTCGCTACTTTTAAGATTTGATAGCAGATGCTTGAAATTTTTCAGACTTTTTTTGTAAGTATAATTTAAATAAGGCGCTGTTCACTTATTACGTAACGCGAAAAAATGACTTCTTAGACCCCCCCCCCCCCTCGTAACAAAATTTGTATGAAAAAAAAATTTCCTTGTTTGAACCGTAACAAAATCTTAGACCCCCCTCTCCCTAAAAGCGTTACGTAATAAGTGAATGGCCCCTAAGGTCTGCCTCATCAAATATTTGAAGGTTGGGTATAACTTTTTGACTGATTTTAAGTACTGATCTTGGTTGTTCTGTGCAGGTGTTATTAAATTGTGAACATGATTACAGACTAAAGACCAAATTCTTTTATTTTCAGTCAATTTTTAAGTATTTTTATTCAAGCAATTCTTTACTTCAAAATGGTTTCTGAGCAAAGAAGAATCTGAAGTATCGAGTCATATGTAGACATATCTGTGAGTGCTAAAGTAAGGTCTCTGTGACGGAGTGGTTAAGTAACTTAATCTATAAATTTGTGGCACTCACTTGTAAAGATTTTGGCTCAGTTCTCAAGACTTATGAATTATTATAAGAATGTTTGTCGATGAGACAAGGATTTATGCTCACTTGAGTTGCAAATCTGAGTCTAAGAGCATGACATAGCTAATGAGATTTTAATGAGTGCACTCAAACCTATACCTACAGTTTATAGTGGGATCCGAACCACTCCTTTGATGACATTACTGCCTATAGCCTGCAAAGGAAGGCTGTGAACCTCATTTTTCAGCACATATGGTTCGAAAAAGTACAAGCGAAAAATTTCACATACCGAGGCTCGAACTCAGTCGGTTTTGCAATAATTAGGTACCAAAGTACTAAACCATTCCACCACCGAGCTATTTCAGCTCAAATTATTTATTGGATTACTTCAGATTACTTATGACTTTTGTCCTCCTGTTTATTTGTTGCTGTGATTCTGTTTAAGCTGATTTTTCTTAATCACTAGAACCTTAAAAATGTCCCCTTACCCTTCCTTAATAAAACAATCCTGGCTATATTCAACATTTTCATTTCATCAAAAAATATGAAGTAAAATATTAGACAAACAAGTGA